CCTCGCCGCGGGCCTAGGTCCCAAGTCCCTTTCGAGATGCTCTAATTTGTTCATGGTCCTGTTCACATAGATCAACTGCTTGGACGAAAGTCATATGGGTCATATCCTCACAAGCTCGGCATCTCCTGAAAATGGCACGAGCAATGGCTCTAATCCTGTCTCTTGTTTGCTACTTTTCTGTAAGCAAGCACTTTATCTGGTCACTACATGTTTTTCATGCCCGAGAATCTTGTAGATGCTGATTCTACAACTGCTGCACCTCTACCTCCATTCGGGCCAACAAGTCGTAACACTGTCCACTTTCAATTTCGAAATCCCTGGCCTGCCTAATCGATTTATCCTCAAGGGCAGCCACCTTTCTCTTCAGATTGTCAACAATTTTCTCGTGGTCCCTTTTCAGTTGATTCAGGTATTGGCGACGCTCCTCTGCTCTTGTAGCCCATTGTTCTTTGAGCTCTGCCATGACACTCTCAGATTTTTCCAATTCATCCCGATATTCCCTGACTTCATTTTTAGCCCTTTTATCAATCGCTCATCTGATCGACTCCTCGGTTGTTTATCAACGGCTGTTCTCAATTGCTAGATTTGGGCCTTAAGCTCCGCATTTTCTCGGGCCAGTCTGTTTTTTTCACCCTGATCCACAATGACTTGCACACTATTTTGAAATTTTAGACTTTCAACTTGTTGCTTCTGCTTCCCAATCTTTGCCCGGTAACCTTCTTCCTTGGCTAACCAATCCAATTGTTCCTGGGATGACTCGGCAAAATCTTTGAGATGACGTCTTTTAGCCTGTCTCCCGCATGACACGTGACCTCTGAACCAAGCGTGATACCCAGGGGACACTTCCCCTTTTGCCTTATCCAATACACAAGTGTTCACCGCCAAATGTTGACACTCACTCCAGATTTGGCGAACTTCTTCTTCGGGGAACAGACCATCAGGACTAATTTTAACCACCTGGATACTCATATTTTCATCTTTCGACACTGCCTGATACCTCCCGAGTTGTCTCAACACCCGATATGGTGCGTAGGGCTAGATGCTTTTAAGTCCCATCAGCAGAAAGTGGGGCCTGGTTGCCGGCATATATATAATTTCCTCAACAGGCAACCATCCGAGTGTCCACTGAATTTGGCTAGCGGTGAGAGTCCGGAATAATGATGTCCAGGCTGTGACTCCCTCAGGTAGACTAACCCCTTTGACTCTTGTGTAAAATTCTCTAATACAAGTCTTCTCAGATGAGCCGTAACTCAAAAACTAGGGGTGGTGACATAAATGTTCGATCATCCACATTTGTAATAGCAGGTTACATCCTTCGAAAGATTTGCCCCCAGCTTTACAAGTAGTGAGAGCCCGGAAGATGTCAGCCACGATCATAGGTGCCTGAGTGCTTTTTTCCTGAGTTAACAAAGTATTAACGACCACAACTACTTTTATATCATATTCTCGTCCTTCCTCGGGAACACTAAAAGGCCAAAAAAGGTCATCATGAAAGCCTCTCGTCTGTGCTCATCCCACTTCTGACGGTTATTTCTACTGCACAACTTGATGTCCGGGTTGTTAAACCTTCCCACATGGCCATATCTATTGCATAAGAATCAAAGAGTGCAGAAGCCCTGTGCCAAATCTTGATTATGAACTGTCCTGGATATCTTCAATACATCTAGAACCCGCTGCAACGTGATGACTCTTGGAGCAACCAGATATTTTTCTTTTAACGGAACCTAATCATTTCCGATGTACCCAGCTATTTCTTCCAAAGTTGGAGTGAGCTCAAAATCCAATAAGTGGAAGACATTATACGCTGGGTCGTAGAAAGTAACCAACACTCTTGTGATATCACCTCGAGGATTAATGTCTAACAAATCCGTAAGACCCTTTAGATATTTCTTTACTTCATCTTGCCCCTCTTTGCCCAAGTCATTCCACCATAATCGCAACTTGAAAGGATTTTGATCATTATTGAAAAAGGTTCATTTTGCGTCGTGCTCATCCTGCATATTTATTAAAGCGATTAAGAAAAAGAAAAACTTTTATTCGACTCAAAAAATAAAACTATCTATATTCTCTTTTCAAATTTTAAAAATGAAGGACTCGGTTTTCCAACACGGCCTTTTAGTCCTTCAGGGACAAATATTTAAAGGCTTTGCGAGTCAACCGGTCAAAAATCAAAATTGGCAAAAACTGGCCATTTTTGCAATGTCAGCCTTCCGGCATCCCTTTCAGGAACATTCGGCTAATTATGACAAAACGGCCTGACTCGACTTATTTACGACTCTTTTCTTGTTTTTTTTTCGAAACTAAATTAAAATAAAAGACCCGATATTGCAAACTCGGCCTTTCAATGCCTCGAGTACGAAAATTTAAGGTTGTCAGGGTCAAGCCCCAAAACATGACCAAAGGTGGCTATTTATGCATGGTCAGCCTTCCAACATCCCGTTTGGAAACATTTGGCTTTTTTTGCAAAATCCACATCACCCGACTATATGACTCTTTTTCATATTTTCAAACTAAAATGAAAAGACCCCGTATTGCAAACACGGCCTTTCGGCGCCTCGAGGGCAAAGATTTGAAGGCTGTGATGGTCAAAAATTAAAACATGACCAGAGGTGGCTGTTTATGCAAGGTCAGCCTTCCGGCGCTCTGTTTGTTATCTTTTGGCTATTTTTGTGAAAACAACATCACCCGACTTATTTAATACGAAAATAAAAAACAATTTGGCTATTTTTGCGAAGGGGAGGTTGGACGCGATGAGAGTTGCTTTCGTATCTCACACCCTGTGAGAACCAAACCTGCGTAGTTTGGGCAATTAAACTAATTAATTTTTAAAACAAAACTCTTATTCAACCATTTCTCCATTTTCTTTTTTTTTTTTTTTGAAATCAAATCAAAGGGACCCCTTTTTCTATTTTTTCAAACATTTTTTCCCAAAATAAAAGACTCTTTTTCCTTTCCCTTTCACCAAACAATTGTCAAAAAAATAAAAGACTCTCTTTTTTTCTATTTTTCTTTTTCTTTTAGTAAAACAAACTACATCTATATAAAAAAACATTTTCTTTTCATTTGTCGAAATTTTGATAGAGTTTCAGCAGTACTTGGGCATCAGATTTTATCCAAATATTAACTCCCTAATTGCTATTTCTCTTATTTTTCTCTTTTTGCTTATTTCTCAATTTTTGACATTCCAAGATTCAAAAACCGGTCAACATGCGGGTCCGAAACAAATAAGTGCACGAAAAACAAATAGGATGCATCAGGATGGTCTTTTTCCATTTCAGGTTGCTAGTCCTAGACGGACCCAACCCATGTGTTGAGTCCCCTATGTCAAATGCAACATGATGCAAATAGGCGTTCCTACTAGGGATCCGGCATGAAGTCAAGTTATTCTAGTTTCAAAACATGGGTATGTGTTCTAGACTGTGTACCCGAGCGGACAACTCGAGTCGAGGAGGGGGAAACTTACCGGGAACCAAAAGGCCATCCGGCTTCGTAACTTGTCCGGCCTCTTTCTTATATCAGGGTATGACACTAACAGAATAGGGAGTCTCAACCAGTAAGCACATCCCCATAGGTAGAGAGAGAAGGGTGTCGGCACAGTTTATATAGAGTTCAAATAATATCAAAGCGGTAACATTTAGCACATTCAGCACAAAGCATGTAAGAAAATCAGATATAACCAAATACAACAATATATCTAAGCTCGAGTTCTGAACCCTGAACAAAACGTTCTGGGTTCTTTTCCCTAACAGAGTCGCCAGAGCAGTCACACCTCCTTTTTCACTACATCGGCAAGGGCGTAAAGGCGTTTTTTCAATTAAAGGACAATCAGAACAGGATTGAGTTATTAATTATTCAGAGTCACCACTTGGGAGATTTATGGTGTCCCAAGTCACCGATTGAATCCCGAACCTAGGAAAGAATTGACTCTGTATTACAGTCTACGAACCAGAAATCCAGATAAGGAACTCTATTAACCCGGGAGAAGGTATTATACATTCCCGGGTTCCGTGGTTCGAGCACGGCCTCTTAACTATTGTATTTGATTTTATCCGGTTTTAATACATGCTAGCTTATATGCCTTTTATTTATAAGCCACTTTCCATCATTATTTATTTTAATAGAATTGCAACGCCGTGAAAATGCATCTCTGACCGCGTCGCCATCAAGGCACCCGTGGTCGTCAACACATTTCGACTTCGTCGAGATTTGGATTTGGGACGCATCAATGCAAACCCGAGTTTAAGAAAGTAATTTAATTAATTCACGCTCAAAGGTTCTAGCGTAATATTATTTTGGGAAAGGCCGCAGAAATTCGCTAAACGGCCCGTACAAATTCTAATCATTTTTAATAACCAATTATTGAGGGCCCCACATTTATTCGTATTCGGTGAGGCTCGTCTCATTTCATTTTTAACAGGGCAATCCTAATGTAATCTATATAGTTTTCTACTTAATGTTTCTAAAATATGAAAGCCTCTCATTAATTATTGTTGCGCTATTAACCTTCAGAAAACGGCCTTGCAGTCAGCTCCAACAAAAGAACATTGTCGTTCTAGAATCAGCCCAGCTTGAAAGCAGGCCCAACCTTGTATTATTGTCACAGTTGGACTACTTGCTTGGCCCAGTTGCAGCAGAACTATGGTCTGGAGATCGATCCCCAACAATAGCACAAATTAACGCCCAAATGCCAACCCAGGCAGCCCCAGCCAATTAACGCCCAGATGGCATAAATTAAACAAAACATATTTGATTACTTATTGATAAAACAGTATCATGCCGAGCACTCGTGCTTACACCTTGTTCATGACTAAGCATGTGATCAAAACGGAATGCAAAGGATTTAAACAAGGTAATGCAATAGTCTCATTAGCATAAACGATTTAATAGCCTGGATTCAATTCTGGAAATAAACTACATGATTTAAATCAATTTTTAACAACAACTGGGCATTTGGAAATTACTACAGCAAGTTTTTGCATTTTTCTAAGCTACTTGGACTATTTAACTGCCAAATGATTAACTACTGCATACTAACTTCTGCTTTCTCAGTCATTCCTTGTCATTTCAATATATTTCAATCAAGGGAACCTACTACTAAATGACTGTGCAATACATGAAACAGTCGCAAATCAAAAAGTTTCATAGTTCCACAAGCTTAAGCAATCCTAAGTTAATACAATTACATTATTACAATCCAATTTCTAGGCAGTTCATATCAATTAGAAATAGTTCAAATCAAGCTCAGTCAAATTAAACTAAACAGCTAGGCATAACTGACCATAACTACAGTCTACCTACTAAACAGAGAATGCAGCAGAAGAGCCTTGATCTAAACTTCATTTCATTTTGTCAACCAAGGGTGTACAACTGTGTACCTGGAAATTAGAGAGCAATAAGAAGAGGAAAAGATCAACAACAATAATAACTCTCAACAGCAGCCTAGGAATAAGTTCAGGAATCCAGAAACACTTTAAAACCATACAGGATCAACAAATCAACAAAATAGCACCAAATAACCATCAATAATCCAAGAGACCAGCACACTCAGTGAATAAAACCCTAGCTAACTCGAATAAACCAATGCCAGCGACTCCAAACACTTTCAGATTGCAAATAGTGAATAGAAACAAAAGAACTCAGACCATTTTTGGTTTCGAAATGAGCTAGAAAGTAGAATTAAAGCTGGAATTAGAAAATATCCTAAAGAAAGGCAATGAAACAGTGTTTGTTTTAGGATTTTCTATTGTATTTTCTGTTTGTTTTTTTTTTGGTTTTTTGAATTTTAAAGCTATTTCTGATCTAAAAAATTCGAATGGAAAGAGGTTTGGGAGCTAAAAAACTGGCTGAGGAAGAAGACCCCTGCTCAAGCACTATTCACTGCCTTTTATAGGCAAAATAAGGGCATCCCTCAGAACTTGTATTTACACTATTAGTCCCTACTTATTTTGAACTTTGGTCCCTCAGTTTTTAACTTGCTAAACATGTAAATACATCTAAATTGCTGAAACCTACATTTGTATCCTATTTTAGAAGGTCCTATACCCATTACAATTCCGATTCTACCTCTTCCATACCTTAAAAATTACTATTCCTAAAGATCCTGCCCTTTTCTATCCCTAAAATGCCCTTGTGAACCCCCTGAATTATTGACTTTAACTAACCACACCAAACCCTTACCCTTAGCTAAAACTACTAGGGTTAACTAAAACCAAAGAATTGTTCAGCTATAACCAAACAGGTCCAAACCTAAAGCAGGATATCAAGATTAAACTTAAAACAAAACAACTTAGTGAAAATTCTAACAGTCCATTAATCAAACGAAAGCAGTCGTCAACATTAAACCAACCTAGAATCATCAACAATCAAAAAAAAAGAAAAACAGGGCAATCAAAATAGGCATCAAATATGAACTAACATTAATACTAACCATTCGAACTAATAACTACTATTATCTATGAACAACATTAAAATATGATCGATAAACAACTAACAAAAATAAATTCAGAACATTAAAGAAAACTTACCATAAAGGACACTCGACCAAGAAAATTTCCCCAAAACCTATTTGAACCCGCATACCCTAGATTTGAACTCTGAGATGGCCCGGTGAACTTCAACGGAAACTGACTACGGATTTATGAAGAGGAAGACGAGGAGACTGTCTGTTATCAATTTGGAATTATTTGGATGATTTTATGTTTTGGCCTAAATTTCGATTTGATATTCGATGAGCCTGGCTTTGATTCAAAAGAAGCCATTAGTAGATATGGGAAGAGGAGGACGGGGGGAGATTGGGGTGTTAATTTGGTGGGGTTTGGAGATGGCGCCGCCACCGACGGCCTGGGATTAGGGGCAGCAGTCTCTAGGGTTTAAAGAGAAGGGGGTTGTGAGGGAGACGATGAGAGGTAGGGTGGGACGTTCGGACACTGATATATTAAAAAAGGATGAGTTCCTGGCCGTTAGATTTGATAACCTCGACGGCCAGGATTGAAGGGAACAATACTGCGTCTTTGGTGATCTTGTGAAACAAACCGGGTAGGGGGTTGTTTTGGCCCGGTCCTGGGATGATTTCGAATTGGGCTGAGGTATAGTTAATTCAAAACGACCCAAATTCGAGTCTTTCTTTAGAGCAGCCTTTTTTTTCAAATTGCTTTTCTTTTGTTTTTCTCTTTTTTATTTCTTTTTGTTCTATTTTGTAATTTTTATAATTTTTCTAATTTTTATAAAGATGTAAAATCAACATAAAATCCTAATGCACTTCAAAGCAAAGACTAACTAATTTCTAAAATTGTGTAAACCTATTTTATGACAAATTCAAAATAAAAATAATTAAAATGCAAATGTGAACCAATTTTTATCAATTTTTATGTTTTTGTTATAAAATAAATTATCCCCTAATTAATACTAAAAATGTAAAATTAAATCCTACATGCAAATGCGTATTTTTATATTTTATATGAATTAATATGCACAAATAAAATGCAACAATTATCAGAAAATGACACAAAAATGCATAAAAATTGTAAAAATAGAGAAAAATCATTTTGTTTAATGTTTGGGAATAATTTTCTTAGGGAAAAAATCACGTGCTCACAAGGGTCTAAGGCTTTGTGAAGCTACGACCAGCGCGAGAGCTAGTTTTTTGAGGTGTGAGTACCTCGTCTTGGCATATATTAATGTTTTGCTGATATAATAAATAGGGGATTGAGTACATTTATTCTCACGGAGCAAGACAACGCTGACAGCGACTTCGGATACGGCCAGGTACATTAGTAGACACTCACCTAGGTCTGCTTTGACGAGTAGTGGTGGTGGGGATAAATATGATTTTAATTTTCTTAGAGCATCGATGCACTCCTCGTTCCATTGTAGCCCATGATCTTTTCTCAGTACACTAAAGAACTTGTGGCATCTATCCGAGGATCGCGTGATGAACCTTGATAGGGCGGCTATTCGCCCTGCCAATTTCTGTACCTGTCTCTTGCTGTTCACAACCTCAGGTATTGTGTTGATGGCCTTGATCTGGTCTGGGTTGACTTCAATCCACGTTGTGACACGAGAAAACCTAGAAATATTCCCGAGGTCATGCCGAAGGCTCATTTTCCGGGTTCAATTTCATCCCGTACTACCTCAGTATCTCGAAAGCTTCTTTCAAATGACTGATATGGTCCCCCTTCTTTGCTTATTTCTCTAAAATGTCATCAATATAAACCTCCATTGTCTTGCCGAGCTGTTCCGTGAACATCTTAGTGACCAACCTTTGGTATATGGCTCCCGCATTTTTGAGTCCGAAGGGCATCACTTTATAGCAATAATTCCTTGGTGGATGAGGAAAGCCATCTTTTCTTGGTCCTCTTAGTCCATTAGTATTTGGTTGTACCTGGAGTAGGCATCCAAGAAACTCAGTAGTTCATGCCCCGACGTTGCGTCGATCAGCTGGTCGATATGGGGCAATGGGAAGGAATCTTTGGGGCATGCCCTATTCAGAATGCAGCAATGAAATTGGCGCCGCAATGACCCTCATGCACCTCTTCTAGTACTTGTCTCATTTGATGTGGTTCGAGGCACTTAGTGAGGGGACCGCCAAATGTTCTTTTCTAGAGGTCATGATTTACCAGGCTATACCGGGCAACCTACACCCGGAGTTTACTATCTTCTTTTTTGTCGTATGGGAGTGTTCCATCCTATAGATAGGATACAAGGCAGTTGCGCCAATCCCAATTTAAGTTTAAAGAGAGTACCTCGATGTGGTCGACGACCGAATGGAGGAGGGTAACCACGTTTTCTTTGTTGATGTTCTTGATGGCCGCGACTAGATTGGCTAGGCCATCTGCCTTGATGTTTTGTGCTCTGGGGATTTGCTCAAAGCGACATTCGTCGAACTCAGGTATTAGCATATGGATTTCTAATTGGTACTTCTGTAGTCTATGTTCTTTGATTTGGTAAGTCCTAGTGACTTGATTTATGACGATTTGAGAGTCGCAGTGGAGGATGAGTCATCGAGCCCCATACTTGAGTGCTAATTTCATACTTGCAATCACATCCTCATACTCCGCCTCATTGTTAGTCATCTCGGGACATCGTATAGACTGGCAAATTACTTCACCTATGGGGACTTCGAGGACGAGTCCCAGTCCCAATCCTGAGGCATTCGAGGCTCCGTCAGTATAGAGGGTCCAGAGGTCAGTATTGGTGGAGGTGCGGAGGGCCTCTTGTTCCACCTCTGGTAATATCTCCATACTAAAGTCAGCGACAAAGTCAGTAAGTACCTGTGACATGATGGCAGTTTTTGGATGATATGTTATGTCATGCTCGCTGAGCTCTATGGACCACTTGGCGAGCCTGCCTAAGAGTTCGGGTTTATGTAGGATACTTCTTTGGGGGAAGATTGTTATTTCTTTTATGGGATGACATTGAAAATAGGGTCTAAGCTTTCATGAAGCTACGACCAGTGCGAGAGCTAGTTTTTTGAGGTGTTGCTACCTCGTCTCGGGATATATTAAAGTTTTGCTGATATAATAAATAGGGGAATGAGTACCTTTATTCTCACGGACGAAGACAGCGCTGACAGCGAGTTTGGTTACGGTCAGGTACATTAGTAGACACTCGCCTAGGTTTGCTTTGACGAGTAATAGTGGTGATGATAGATATGATTTTAATTTCCTTAGAGCATCGATGCACTCCTCATTCCATTGTAGCCTATGATATATTCTCAGTACACTGAAGAACTTGTGGCATCTGTCCGAGGATCGCGAGATGAACCTTGATAGGGCGGCTATTCGCCTTGCTAATTTATGTACCTCTTTCTTGCTGTTCAGAACCTCAGGTATTCTGTCGATGGCCTTGATCTGGTCTGGGTTGTCTTCAATCGACGTTGTGACACGAGAAAACCTAGAAATGTTCCCGAGGCCATGCCGAAGGCGCATTTTTTCGGGTTCAATTTCATCTCGTACTGCCTCAGTATCTCGAAAGCTTCTTTCAAATGACTGATATGGTCCTCCTTCTTTGCTGATTTAACTAAAATGTCGTCAATATAAACCTCCATTATCTTGCCGAGTCGTTCCTTGAACATCTTAGTGACCAACCTTTGGTATGTGGCTCCCGCATTTTTGAGTCTGAAGGGCATCACTTTATAGCAATAATTCCTTGGTGGATGATGAAAGCCGTCTTTTCTTGGTCCTCTTAGACCATTAGAATTTGGTTGTAGCGGAGTAGGCATCCAAGAAACTCAGTAGTTTGTGCCCCGCCGTTGCATCGATCAGCAGGTCGATATGGGGCAATGGGAAGGAATCTTTGGGGCATGCCCTATTCAAATCGGTGAATTCCATGAGCATTCTCCATTTCCCATTTTTCTTTTTAAACATAACACTGGCGACATTTCGATTCTCTGGTGGAACCGTTGGCTAACAGCCTGTCTACTTCTTCACTAACTGCCTCGTTGATAGCAGCGTTGAATTTCCACCTTATTTGTCGTACCGGCAAATAGAGTAGGTCAACATTCAGCTTGTGAGTGGAAATGTCTTTTAGGATCCCCGGCATATCTGAGTGAGAAAAGGCAAATAGATCTGCATGGTTAGTTAAGAATTTATGGTACTTGCCTGGGTCGGAGAGGTTGTGCCCGATATAAGCCTTCTTGGTGTTGTCGGTACTGTCAAGCTGAACTGGATCGAGGTTTTCGACCGTTCCTTTGCAGGCTTCTACAACGTCTGGGTCCTTAATCACATTTGACGGTGGGTTGATTTTAGTTCCTGACATGGCTAATTGCAATGCTTTCGTGCTCGCTCCTTTCAATTATTTGGTGTGTTTGTACTCTTGGGCGATCCGGTTGCATTTTTGGGCGGC